GCGCAGACTTAAATCTTCCACCGCCATTCTACAATGACCAATCACAGTATGTCGGCTCAAATCTCATACGCGATATGCTTTTAGCCAGGATATCTAGATTCAAGCAATCGGAAGCCTCTCAAGTTGATGACGCCTACTTTTCAGCGCTAGCCGAAGATTTCGACTTGGGACGCACGAGAGGAATTGACGCCACTCTGGCCCAGTTCAATCTCGATGCTATAATTCTCCCAACCGAACATGCACCAGGACCCGCGGCAATCGCAGGGTATCCGTTGATTTCAGGTTAGTACTTCCGAGTCTTGCTACGATCTCAATCCTACTCAAATTCATCTAAATCTTTAGTGCCCCTCGGATTCCAGCCAGATGACGTCGAGTTACTTCCTGTCACGCCATCATCAGTTTATACGCAAGCCCCGGGACTTCCTTTTGGAATTGCTTTTGTGGGAACTGCGTATAGCGAGTTCAAGCTCATCGGCTATGCGTATGCGTTTGAGCAGGCTACCCATGTGAGACTTCGGAGAAAGGCCTACGAAGATGCGATTCCTAGAACCCAATTAACGGACGTTATGTCCCAGCTGTGAAAGTGGCTTTAACAATACACTGTCATACGATACTGATGTTCGAGCTTACCGTGAGTCTAATTATAGACTTACTCTCTCAAGTCATGTTCAAGGTTTTGAGATATCTCTCTAGCCTAAAATCGTTATTGCTTGAAGCTTGAGCAGCAGTAAAATTTGTTCAGACCCGTTGCATGAACATGTTCCAGACACTAGCTGCTTTGCAATCATCATGAGGTGCTTCCTGCGTCTTTCACGCACCCGACGAACAAGTCCTTGATGAGGAGGCCACGAAGATGAGGACGACAAAGATGAGCCTCAGACTCGAACAGTTTACGTACTACTCTTCCATCAGCCTCTCCTGTAGAAGACGCCGACAAGTGGTCCAGTACGATTCGCACGAGTGGTATAGCTTCAATTGTCGACCTCTTTTACGAAACGGGTTCATGGTATACGTTGTTGTCCTTGGTTAATGAGTCTCGCAAGCTAGGAGGTAAAAATGACATCAAGCGCACTCTTGACGCACGACTTGAGACGACTGTCCTCACGACTCTCCAATTGAGCGAGGCATTCAGACTTTAAACACTTTCTCATCACTTGCACGGGCGGTATTTCCCCTCTGCGTCATTCTGTCAAACACCCCTTCATACAACATTTGTTCTGCCGACAACCATCGCAACACCACTTGCGGAACTCGAAGCAAATGGATCAGCGTTCGGATAGTACGGACAACAAGTCTGCCCCCACGCCCTGAGAATCCATGAGGAAGTGGAATAGACCTCGCACCAGCCCATACGTAATTTTGCTACAGTAGCAAATGCGTCTCGAGAAACAACAGGACTCGGCAATGCGTAGGAACCAAGAACGGAGCCACAAATATTTTGGGGTGTAACCAGGAGGGCGGGATGTACCTGCAGTAGTACTCAGTACTCATTCCTTATCAGGATCAATCTATTGGTGTTGCATATGTGCGTGTGCATGTGTACAACGCGGAGTGTGACCTCACCTACAACGTAGTCATGTTGTCCGAGTCGTTCAAGTTTGAACAATAACATTGACTTTCCCAAAGCGGCACAATCGGCAACTGCAGATTTTCAAACTCCGTGCCTCCTCTGATTTCGAAATCTGTCTACAGCAGAAATCAGTGATCACAACATCTCAACAATGCAAGTACACAAATGGTCAACTACGAGTCTAGCCACTGATACCAGTTGTTTGTTTTCTTTTTGGAAGACTCAATTCTCCGCGATCTCCACCGCAGACACGTTACCACTGCCATTGTTGGCCTACCTGGAAAGTCCGCTTTCCCATATTCAACTCTGAAATTTGCTTTCTTTTAGACGCATTGATCCTGTTATCATTGCTGGCCTGCTGTGCCCGATGTATCATGGCCTGTGGGACACTTTCCTCGCTGTATCTTATTACACACCGGCAGGTCCTGGCAGTGGGCCACTCACGGTGGCCATGTAAGTTGAGGTTCCTCTGTACATTCCAACCTTATTTGAACAGTCCGGCTACCAGGTCGTATATTATTAACTAAGGCGATGCTAAGACAGATGGCCAATGCACACTTGAGCCACAATTCTAATTGGTTTATTACACTATTCTTCTGTGGGTCCTTCCATGGCCCGCCATTGTTTTTTTTTGTGTAGGCACCTTGACATCGACAATACGCCAATGTATGTTGATCCAGGCCAGCACCACCAAGGGCCACAAGCGAAATCGTTTATAAAGCCATCGAATTCCTGTAAACTACCATCATCCTTTTCCTCGCCAATGTCCTCCTCAATGCTTGCTGACTATTTACAAAGACGTGAGAAACTTATCGCAGAGGACCGCGCGTTGCGAACAGACCATGTTCGCTCGAATTACACCGCAGCTGAACTAAAGGCAGATAAAGTTGTGCGCTCTATCCGTGCTAAAGAAGCTACCACTGTTTGGGGGATTGATCATGAACATGTCCCTCACCCATACCCAGGGATGGAATTCTTGAATGGTATAGTGCTTGGCTCGCGCTTAGCACTTCTTCTCACATCTGTGTACAGGCAAAGACCTCATTTTACAGACGGAACTCTATGAAATAGTCTCCAAAGTAAGCGTAGCAAATTACCATGTTGCTCGTCACCGATCATCTCAATCGCAATTTCTCCGTAGATGCCAAAGGGTGGGCTATTGCATGTGCACCAGAACGCCTCGGTGGAGGCAAAAACACTTCTTGATCTGGCACTGAGCCATCCCGCGATACATATCCGCGTCCCGGGTCCGTTGGACGCAGCCTCTCTCGAAACTGTGCTGCCCACAATCCAACCAATCCCTGTGGAACAGTATCCTGCTACTGATGTAGTTGGTATCACGGATGTTTTATACACCGGTGGCTGGGTTCCCATCAAGAAGGCGCGAGAGCTGTTCGATCCTGCACTAGGCGGCCCTGCCGGATTCGATAACTGGGTGCTCAGCGCTTTTATGATCAATCCCAGTGACGCGTACGATACGTACAATACACCGATGAAAGTGAGCCCCATATTAACATACAACCTGCTGAACACGTCCTTAATGCGAGACTTGCAGATCTGGATGAAGTTTGGGAGTACCTTTGGCGTGACTGATGTGAGCCTGTGTACTGGAACTCGATATGTGCGCCTGTCCTGATGAAACTTAGCCCATTATCCGTTTCGTGCCGATTCAAAAGGAATACTTGCGGATGTTCATTCGTTCATCAATAAGTGATGGCATCTCGTATATTGAGGTACGAACTAGTTTTTTCAAAAAGTGAGTCAGGAAGACATGTCTATGATGGAGATACATGACGAAACGTCAGGTATATACTTGCAGAGGATGCGAAGACAAAACTTGAATTACGCGAACTACTCTTGATATTCCAAGAGGTCACGAACGAAATCAAAGCGGAATTGAAGGCGAAAGGTCGGGAAGACGATTTCGCTGGGTTGAAGGTTAGCTTGGTCTCGGCGAACGCACTCAAGCTCAGACTGATCTTTTTCCTAGATTATCTACAATACCCTGAGAATTATCTCCTCCGAGGAATTGGAATTGGAACTAGAACAGTGCAGCAAATTCAAGCAGGAATTCCCGGACCTTATTGCTGGTAAGTCCCGCGGGTTTGTTGTAAGTCGGCAGACCCAGATCTCACAGTTCTATCTGCCAGGATTTGATCTCGTGGGCCACGAGGACGGGGCGGAGTGTAAACCACTCATTGATTACGCAGAGCCACTTTTGCGTTTCGCCGAGCAGCATCCGGACATCCCATTCATCTTCCATGCTGGTGAAACTCTGGGTGATGGCACAGCAGCGGATATGAACCTGTATGATGCCATTCTTCTTGGAACGAAGCGAATCGGACACGGGTTAGGTGCATTGTACGATATGAAGCGCTCGCTAACCCATATTGCATAGCTTTTCACTCGCTAAGCATCCAAAATTGATGCAAATCTGTCGAGAGAAGAAAATAGCAATCGAAGTCTGCCCTATATCGTGAGTGAATCGTGCAAGTAGACACCTTCAATTGATTTTGATCTTTTGATAGAAATGAAGTACTGGTAGGTTTTTTGTATGCTGCCTCGGAGCCTTGCCTTGACTCAAGGAACGATAGCGTCTTACCTCATCGATGCCTATGCACCCCCTCCCGGTAATCATGAACCAAGGCATTCCTGTGGTACTGTCTTCCGACGATCCTGCGATGTTTAATAGCATGGGGCTGTCCTTCGATTTCTTCCAGGTGACCCTCTTCTTTGTTTGTCTCCTGCTGCAACCAGACTCATCAGTCGCTCACAGGTATTGGTGGCAAGTGAAGTTACGGGACTCCTTGCTCTTGGCCACATGGCCCGTGACAGTATTACGGTGAGTCATGCCCTTGACCTTGTCTCTTGCATTGTCTTATGTTCCCTGGGTAGTATTCCATGCTAGATGAACAGAGCAAGCGCACCGCTATGGATGCATGGGAAAGACGGTGGGCCAAATTCGTAGAAGAAGTTGCGGCGATGGATCCGTGATTCAGTAAAACTTTGCTCTCCGAAATACAATACAAAATTAGCTTTGTAATGTAATGGATATTGTTATACGTAACCTTATCAAACCTTAAAGTGCGGGTGCTCCTCATAACGCTTCCATCACAAACGAAATCTCACCAAACCCCTACTGTTTTACCGGTCTCATGCAATCGCTAGTGATTCAGGGACTGCTGTATACCATATCTGCTGCTATTCCAGTTTATCTAATTGCGTTTCGGAGTACGGAGTAGGGTGTGACATGGGTGGACCCGGGTGGCACCCGTACCCAATCCGCGGGTGGATGGAACTTCAGAGGCCTACCCGCACCCGTGCGGGTGAGAGTACCACGGGTGCGGGTGGATCCACGGGTGGGTCCGCAGATGGTATGGGTCACCCGCGGGTGACACATTATGAATCGTAGAATACGACATGGGTAGTACTACATAATATCAATCACAGTCGATTTTGCTGATACCAGCCTGCCTGATTCTTTTTCCTTGCCCTTTGCCATCTTCTGCCGCATTATATTCGTAGCGACACTGAGATCCGGCATAAGAGGCGTGTTGAACCACGATCCAACAGCAACCTGCGCTTTGAAGGTCTGGGAGCTGATATTGATTGTTGTATACTTTCTCGCATACACTGCCTTCACAGTAATATGCAGTTGAGCCCAAAGGGATAGCACAGTCACCGTCAGCACCGAGAGACTTCGAAGCTCAAATTGAATGGCGAGGATGATGGAGAAACGCTTCGTGAGTTGTGGCTTAGGATTATGAAAACAAAAACTGACGTGGAAGGTAGGATGATGACCGCTTGCTTTTATGTCCTGGATCCTTATGTTTTTTGCTAAACATATCCACCTGAAATAATCCTTTAAACAGATATTTACAATACCAGCTGGTTGCCAACAGACCCCAGATTTGACTTACTCAGTCCTCAATATTCTATTGACGGAACAATACTAGGAAAGGGTTACGGCATACGTTAGGTGACGTAGTCTCCTGTAGTCAGACTTCAATAAGACGTCCGTTCTTTCTGTATGAGGACTGACACGAGGAGCCCAGGCAACAGCTATCATCATGGTATCTGACACTGAGCGCCTTTTTGACAGTGCGCGATAGCGACTGCTAAACGATTATCAAGTTTCGTTCTCACCCACGTGAAGATCAGGCAGCCTTTCTGGTGCGCTCCGTAGCCGACTACAGCTATGCAACCATTTGGGGATGAAATACACAGACCGCCGCTCAGACTCATTTCAAGTGTGGCCTTTGAGTCGGTTACTATTGGTTACCATGACTCGTTATGTAGGCTAGTGAATCGCTCATCGTAATTATTATAATCCTAATGGCAAAATTTAGTATTTTCCTGTGCTTTCTCCGAGCCTTCGTCTTTATGCTCCTGATATATATAAAGGATGCAATGCCGTCAACTTGAAGCTCGCCTCAATATCTTATACTTTCAGCTGCGATCGACTCGAGGAATGGTTTGCACGAACCGCCGAATGACAACTCACTGCTACAGTATGGTCTGGATTTGATCGAGCTCGGGGGACGCCTCTGATCCCCGGCGATAATTCAACATATGGTGATCTGGAAGCCAAATATAAAGATGTCGATGACTCTTCGACTCGGATCGTGAATCGCATCTGCAAGTCTCGATGAAGTCTTTACGGGCCCCGTCATGACATTTCCCCATGTGCAATATTAATACAGATTCAGGTGGCATAGCATGGGACTCGGATGGCTAATTTCAGGCGTCTCCTCGGGTTGACGCGGGCTTGATGAATCCTGTGATCCATGATGTTTACGCTTAACTTCAATTTGAGGTCCATTCCACGGACTACCACTGATGTGATACCTCGTGCTCATTCGACTGTATACAAGATCTGGAACAGTTTCACGATGAATCCAAGTATGGTTAGAAAAGGAGTACGTAATTGTTGTACGCGCCAGTCATATATTCCTTCCTTGTTCAAATAGAAAGCACGTCCTTAATCTGCGTCGCAGGAATTGCTTCAGCATAAGCCTTTCTCTTCAAACGGACCTGCGTCGCCTGTTCAAACGCATAAGCGAAGCCAATAAGATTGAATTCGCTGTATGCGGTGCCTATGAAGGCTATCCCAAATGGAAGGCCTGGAGCTTGTGTGTGCAGTGGTGCAGCGGGAATTGGCAATATCTCAACATCATCTGGTTGGAAGCCCAGCGGAACTAAGCATTCCATTTGGTCAATTGAACTGTCATGAAAACGGGCATCCGCACCTGAGATTATAGGGTATCCGGAAATCGCTGCAGGTTTCGAGGCAGTCCCTAAAGAAGTTTGAGGTCTCAAAATTGACGCAAGCACATGATCGTACGTACCATCAGTAGGAAGAATGATTGCGTCCAATTTGAACTTTTGGAGAGTTGCATCAATGCCTCGTCTCCGGCCTAAATCGAAATCTTCAGCTAAAGCTGCATAATACGCATCGTTCTTTTCCGTCGCTTCAGCAGCAATAAACCTTGTAGCAGAATAAGCAACCCCATAGCACCACCGGCTCGTGAACCCACCTAGATTGATCGTCATGGTATGGTGGTATAAGCTCTAAGTCTGCGTGGGTATTGTTGAACTCGATCAAATCTGCGAGGTTCTTTACGCCAGTAGGAACCTCAAGTAACCCCGAAATATACTCGGCCACATCAGCCTTGAAGTCTGTCTTCAGCACGAGTGTTTCTGCCTGTGACTCCTTCATCTCCTCGGCACAGGGGAAATCAGCCGGATCTACGATCTCCGCGCCGAGAGCCCGGAAGGTGTCTAAAGAAGCGTTGAAAGCTTCCAGAATTGCTTTATTGTCGCCCAGGAATATCCGCGGCACTCCCAGTCGCTTGCCTTTCAAAGCGTTCGGATCGAGCGCTTTCATGTAGTCAGGGAGAACACCAGGTTGGTACAACGTGGCCGTGTCTCGAGGATCTGGTCCTGCTATAACGGAGAGCAGAAGAGCCGCATCTGTAACTGACCTACACATAGGTCCAGCTGTATCTTGATGTGATGAGATAGGTACAACTAAAGAGAATCAACCAACTGTCAAGGTGTGATTGATAAAAGTAGATACCTCCAGCTCGAGAAACCAACCCTACAGTGGGCTTAATGCCTACCACATTGTTCTTGCTGCTTGGTGAAACAATGGAACCATCCGTTTCCGAGCCCAGAGAGCCAGCAGCAAGACCGACGGCCATCGCAACCCCACTCCCAGAACTCGATCCAGATGCATCCCCGTTCGGGTAATAGGGACAAAGAGTCTGACCTCCACGACCTGAGAAGCCGTTGGGAACCTTTCCGCGATAGTTTGCCCATTCAGAGAGGTTCGCCTTTCCAAGAAGGATGGCGCCGGCTTCGCGGAGCTTAGCAGCGACGAATGCGTCTCTGGGAACGACCGAACCCAGGAGAGCATAGGAGCCTAATCTCGCCAAACATTTAACCTAGAACTAGAAGTTCTTGGATATCGTACCAGCGGTAGTATTCATGCCTTCAGGAGGATCAGCATCCTGAACATGCATCGTTACAGTTACGTACCTTCTTCATGCAGTGTAGCAATGTTGTCTTTCAATAACAAAGGGATGCCGTGCAGTGGGCCTCTGCTCCCTTTAGACTTGCGCTCGTCATCAAGTTTTGCAGCCTGAGATAAAGCTTTCGGGTTCGTCTCGAGGACTGCATGGAGAGCTGCGCCATTCAGATTGACCTCATCAATCCTTGCAAGATAAGCCTGTATTAGCGTGAGTCGTCATGAAATGAACCAGTTTTGATTGATAGTAACTCACCTTAACGAGATCAACGCTCGTAAAGTGCCCCAGCTCAAGACCCTTCTGAAGGTCGAGAATTCCAGATTCATACAAATCAGGGAACACGTTCTCCGAGAGGACCGTGACACTGCGGCTGAGGATGTCTCCAGGCATTATGCACGGCAGGCGCCAAGAGATCTAGAGAGGTGACAAACGGGTTGGGCCCAGACAAGCTGAACTACTTTTCCTGATAAAGGACTCAGACTTCTCTACCATACGGACCGCGAACTAGAGATAAATTTGACTCATAGTCACAAGGTACTTGAGAGATAGGCCTCGATGCGGCGCCCAGCGGCGAGACCAAAAGTATTATAAGAAAGGTATTGCTGGGAGTCCGGGAGTTGGCACTACCGTGACCTGTCACTGGTACTTCCATGGATCTACTAGCAGGAGTCTAGGACTATATCATGATGTGATAGAGACTACACCGCTGTAGTCTTGTAAGCTGCCTTGGCACACCGCACAGGCATGTATCGATCCATATGTTTATTGTGCGGCTTGCGCGAACCTCGGGTCAACGTTTCAACACTGATCATCATTGATGCAGCGGATGGTCATCGGTGGCTGAGCGCTGAGTGCATGTATGATCGATGTTCACACATATGCATCTGTCCAGATCCAATAGGCCGACAGAATCGAGAGATCAAGGTGTAGGACATCTGACTCGATGTGTGGCTCGGAAAACGCAAAAACATATGTTCTTTTGGTTGGCATATGGGATAAGTACGGATCCTCGACAAACGGCGAGCCGTCTATGTAATGATAATGGTATGTTCACGGAACAAGGACTAAATGATAGTAAATGATAAAAGGATCGAAAGAATAAAAAAGTATAAGCAAAGCAAAGTTCGAAAGTATGTCCAGTGTGTACATAGAAGTCAAAAGCCGTTTGTCAGTTCGTTTTTGCCTCGATTACGTAAGTCCAATCATAAATAAACACGTGGGTACCGTGGTATATCATCAGAGTGACCTGTCCGTTGAGATTTGTTCGTGGATTAGCGTGGGTGGGCTATAATTTATTTCCAGCCAGGATAGCTCATCCATACGCCCTGAAATGCGGTGTTATTTTGGCGCGGGAATGAAATACTATTTGGGTTTATGCTATGGAGTGGAACAGCTGGGAGGTGGGCTGTGGCGGACGGGATGAGGATGCAGTAGACAATCTCCGTGGCCGGTTTGGATTAGGGCGCCGAAAGGTCTGAATTGCACAAAGCGTCAGCGATCGTAACTACCAAGTGAGGAGGCACTGCATACGTGTCGTGACATTATCAGCTTTGCCATGGAGAGAGGCGCAGGATTTTGGTACACAGCCGGTGCTATGATGCAATAGGTAAGTATGGAGCATAGAAACCGATAGAAATTCCTGGCTCACGTGGTGGCTGGAATTGAGGAGCTGGTCGACACAGTTGCCAGTTGCCGGGGAGGGATTCAAGAGCTTTATGCGAAAGTCCTACGCCTGCTCCTGTGCCAACTTCAGGTGATGGTTTCTCCGGGATGGTCAACGAAAAGGGTAGTGACGCTGGGAGAGCGCGCTGCAAAGACCGACTCCATGTGTTGGTTAGCGACAACAAAGAGGACCAAGTAGGGGTCTTCTCGTCGGCCGCTGTTGATAGAGAATGGCAAGACCAGAGACGCATAAAGGAATACAATATGCGTGCAAGCAACAGACAAACTAAAGATGCAATGCAGGCAAGCATGATGGCAGCGACGCTAGGAAATTTGGTGGGTACAAGGACGCTCATAGTGAGAAGCAGTCAAGGGAGTACACCCTACTTGTTAAAAGAAAAGCACGGAGATTGAGACCACGAAGAACGAGAAAGAAAAGGACGTGCTGGGCAAGGCACTAGACTGGCTGGCTAACAGGACCGAGCACAGCTCAAATTGATATTCAACATGGTTTCTTATAATAATAATTCTCAATTTACTTTTGGGGCAGACGTAATTCATTTCGGAAATACATATGCATTTTCTATTCCCACGGCATCTTCTTCGCTTCCTCAGTTACGTCCACCTTTCCGTCGATCAACACCATGACCTCAACGCCTGCAGGACATTAATCTTAAGAATCTGTTCAGGCTCGTCGTGAAGGATGCTGCGCGGCACTGTCTTATCAGCCCTTACCATGTCGCCGCCACGACACGTTTATAGATCACGAGGATCCCTGGCGGCGTCATCTAGTCCTTTTTGTCCGCTAGTACCGCCGCATCATGAGAATGATCATATTTAGTAGTAGTTTCTAAATGGGAAATTAAAACACCAAGTGGTACTTAACTAGTCTGTGCCCTGCTCACGATAATTTTGAATTACGGAATGGACACGATCAATCACGAACACATACAAAGCCACACACGACACGGAGCCATGTCAACTTGAGATGTGAAGTATCATAGGGTTTGGGGTTGAATGTTGCCCCAGATTGCGCTTACCCGATGACGATCACCCCACGAACCTAACCTAAAAGATAAGTTCTTCTCGCCTGAATAAGCCCCTCAAGCGCGCTTTAATCTCTGCTAGATCGTGGGCGAGAAGCCATATGACGCTCAGAGTGTAGCTCATGTAAGGCTGAGCGCATGCTTCGAAAGCGTGCTCGTGATAGGCTTCCTGGGGCTCGTTAGCATGCAAAATCGTTTCCTTATTAATGAGGTCGCGTACCGGCCGCAACTCAAAGACCCTCGTGTCCGCTATGCTTCCAGACACCACGTTGTCCGCCTTCATCGTCCAACCCAAATAAGGGCCCGCCTCTCTGCGCAACTTCACTGTCGCACATCAACCTCACGCTATCATGCAGGTTGCTAAAGCTGCAAATTACCTCCGCCTCCGGTAGAACAACGCACATACCCCGTGTCAGGGGTGACTGCGTCGGCTTGAAGCTCCGTTCCACCATTTAATACCAGGCCACATGTGGTGAAGTGCCCAACCCAATTAGCTTGATGCCAGTGTCCGCGGGGAAATATTTAATTTTTTCTGCCACTCTAGGAATACGAGAACTTACTGATATATAAACCTTCGCCGCGTTCCAAAACCAAGCGCTAAGACAGACATCCTCAGGGGCCAGATTCGGGATGTAATTGACTATTCTTGTAGTGAATAATTGTGGTGGGCTGAGAACGTGAATGATGTCTACCTGCATGTACAGCTGCTTACGCATGGCGCGACACAACAAATGTGGAAGAACTTTGTATATGTTGCTTGGGGTAAATGTGAGCAAATACTGGAAGGAGAACTAAACTGACATGGTCACATCAACGTCATGGTTGCACAGACTCAGCATGACACCATAGGAAACCATGCACTGAAAGTAGGGACATTATTCCTTCGATAGACAAGTATCACTATACCTTCACACCAAGATCAAGATATAGGGATCGGGGGATGCTGCCGCTGTGACCAGGCGCAAGGACGATGTGCTTGACCTTTGAGAGATGTGACATTTCTTCACGATCAATGACCACATCCCAAGATTTTGTGACATCATCATAGACTGTTTCCCAAGATTACTTGACGATGGCTAGACGATCATGTCCAAGAAGTGAGCGTAGCCTTCAAAACAATTGAAAATGGAAATGGAATTCAATGAACTTTTCATAAAGCTTGCTGTGGGACTTACTTTGGATGCAGGGCTGAAACATGGCCGAGTGAAGGGGAATCTGCGTGTAAAATGAGCAAAAGAATGAGCTAGCGAACCTTAAATAAGCCGTGTGATTAAGATCTATACCACAGGGTGAACAAAATGACCCTGAACCCAACAAATGACGCACTGATTGAATTGTGCAAGATGATGATCTGCGTCGAGTTCTTCGGTGAAAGGGACACGTGAAGTTGAACGAGATCGAGAGTGAAGTTTTGAAGAGACGTGCATTGTCTCCCACCCGCGCATTACATTCGATCACCAAGGCGGACTGTATTTCAGATGTGCAACGATTTGCAAACCGCACTGACTATGTAGCTCCAATAACACGCCGATCTCCGGATCGCTGCTAGGAAGAACCAACTCATTTCTTCGTTTCTCTTCCCGGGCTCCGTTGAAAATCGTATGACTGCGAAAGATGCCGGCCTTGAAAGAATGTAAACGTACATCAACAGGCATGCACACAGGGGGCAATACGTTTGAACCAACACCTATATCAGAAATACTTTCAGCGTATCAATGTGTCAACAGAGCATGTGCTTTCCAGGACACCTGGGGGGCCCGGTCCGCTTGGGATTAGATAGCAAACCCCGCTACCTTTCCCATGAGGTGCCTCAAAGGTGAAACTGAAACGAATAAACGCTAGGTGGTCTGAACGCGGTACGACATGAGCGGGCGTTTTGCGCGCCTCGCTCAATTGGAGATTTATTCGTCTCGATTCGTGCGCCAGGAAGTGCCTGGCATCGTTTTTGCCTCCTAGTCTGCGAAGGTTCCAAGAAATGGCACAACGACAGCTCTCCCAGGAACCCACTTCGTGGAAGATATCGACAGTTGAAGTTATGTCATTCGTGCGAACAGCGTCGATAAAGGCATTGAACTATTTTTGACCTCTTCCATAGGAGAAGCCGCCTCGAGAATGGCTTCGGTGGTGTACAGGGAATCAAAAGTTGGTAGAGATCTTGTACCAGTAGCCAATACAAAAACAAGATCCATCAGTTCCGAGTCTCACATGCATACACATGTTTGGTCCACGGCCAAAAATATCCCCAGACTATCATGGCCCATGGCATATCAGTGAAAGCACTCACTGCGGTTTCAAAATGGCACGAGGCTGTTTTTTGAGTCCCCGAAAAAGAGCTATCAATACCACACATGGATACGTGCGAGGTATACTGGAACTAGTTCGATGCTTGATTGTTCTAGTATATGTTGTCAGCATGTGCTGCGAGGATAGATTGAGGCGTGCTCGCTTAGAAGCGGTGGTGACCAGTAGAACGTGACAAAAAATTGGGAAAGACGAAACATTTTCAATATAGGGTCACTGACTCCAAAGGACTCCATGCTAGCCTGAAATTAACTGATACCACGTGATTGCTGCAGTTGACGCATGTCCACCGGTTGGTGGAACTATAGCATCGAGATTGAACTGGGCCAGAGCAGCGTCAATTCCTCCCGTGCGTCCCAAGTCGAAATCTTCGGCTAGCACTGAAAGGTAGGCGTCATCACGGCTTCCGTTTAAATATTCTTCGTAAAAACATATTGCGTTTCTCGTTGAATTCTATCAGGGCAGCGAGAGTCTTGACGCCCGTCGGAACGTCGACAAGTTCCGATAGGCGCTTTTTAAAGGGTAGGTCCACGTCCAGTAGCCGCTTCTCCGCCTTTGATGTCGATAATTCTTCTGTATCCAAGAAATCTGTGGGGTCGACGATTTTCGCGCCCAAAGCTCGGACGATGTCAAGAGATGAGTTGAACGCCTCTTCGATTATCTTGATATCGCAGATGAAGAACGAGGCATTCCAGAACGAGCGCCTTTGAGGGCGTTTGTGTCGAGCTTTCATGTAGTCTGGGACTAGTCCGGGCTAATATAAAGTAATTTCATCTCGAGGATCAGGCCCAGCCAGATTTCGCTGCATCAAGTACATGCCAAGGAACGACAGAAGCCAGCAGGGCGTAGGAACCTAGAATGGTCCCAAGAGCTGTGATGTGCAAAATGGAAGGCAGTAGCACAGAATGTACCTGCGATCGTGTCCATTCCTTATCCGGATCGAGTCACGGATTTATTAGCACTGCATGTACATGTATAACACAGAAAAGCACACCTTCTTCGTGCAGCGTAACAACGCTATCTTTCAACAATGATGGTATTCCGTGCAATGGCCCGTCGCCTTTGTCTTTCCGTTCATCATCAAGGGCTGCAGCTTGTGATAAGGCTATTGGATTAGCCTCGACTCTGGATGACCGCATGTAACGCGGGACCCTTTAAATTAATTTCCTCGATTCTGTCAAAATAGGCTTGTGATTGATTAAACTTCAACACTGCATGAGATGTGTACTGGAGCAGGATTCTACCTTGACAAATTGAACACTAATGAAGTGTCCTTTGACTAGACCGTCTTAAAGTTCCACGATTGAGGCCTCGCAAACGCGACCGTGACATTGGACGCCAGTTGAAGTTGAAGGTCATCAGATTCAAGTAGAAATAATGTAAGAGGCTCGGTTAGCTGAGGATGGTCGGAGGTAATTGTCTGTATTGCTAGTACCCGGGAGCTGAAACCCTTTAAATGCCCGTCCGAAGTCGCAGCACATAAAGCACACCAGAAAACTGGTTCGGACTCCTTTGGGTGCGTTACGTTGATGCTGAGCGCTGAGCCTTTACTAGTACGTCGTTTTAAAGATGAAAATAAAGAACATGCTCTGCATATATTGTCATGTATAATGGCTTAGTGGAGGGACGATACCAGGTCAGTGAGCCAACAACGCACGTGCCTTTTCTTTCAATGGTCACTTGTCCTCGTGTCACTGCACCGTGACATGTACGCTGCTGATTGGATCAATTTTCGACAGAGTTGGCGCCATCTTGATCATGCACAATATTCTCGAACCAGACGTTCTAGGAAACGCGTGAGTTACATAGGAACTGTGCCACTTGTATGAATGGCATCTGTAGAATGCGGCCAGGTTCTGAACTTGCCTTGACACTAGCAGAAAAAGTTGAAAGTATCGATGGCAAATTGATGTGATCATATGCGATAGCCGCATCGACTCAGATCTCATATGGACAGTTCTCGAAACTGCCAGAAACACTTGTTCGTCACTCTTACAGCACCCGGCCCGCTATAACCCTCGTCCACAAGCGCTGTGCAAAAACCCTACTGAATCCTGATCGTTCTTGTTTGCCATCGAGCGCAACATGTCTGAAACACCTGCAGAGCGCCCCATCGCTTACTTTGATATCACTATCGGTGGCAAACCCACTGGGCGTATCGTATTCTCGCTATACGCGGACTCGGTGCCCAAGACAGCTGAAAACTTTCGTGAGTTCTCAGATACTCTGTCAATCGCGTCATGGTCTTGACGTTTCTAGGTGCATTATGTACGGGTGAAAAGGGTATTGGAAAGTCTGGCAAACCTCTTTGTTACGCTGGATCTGGCTTTCACCGCGTAATCAAAGGGTAGGAGCTTTCACCTGATATTACAATGAAGGTTAACGCAGTGGATCAGGTTCATGTGTCAGGGTGGTGACTTCACGGCAGGCAATGGTGCATCCTAAAGCTACATCCAAATGTCACAAACTCATCGTTTACATAGGCACTGGGGGAGAATCAATCTACGGCGAGAAATTCGAAGATGAGGCGTTCCTCGTGAAACACACGAAACCTTTCTTGCTGTCCATGGTAGAATCTCCTCTCAGTTTCTATTCAGCAAAGTGGTTCTAACCGACTTTTCAGGCAAATGCAGGAAAAGACACTAATGGCTCGCAATTCTTCATCACCGTGAATCCAACATCCCATCTTGATGGCAAGCACGTAGTTTTCGGTGAAGTGATCAAGGGCAAATCAATAGGTATGATATATTGCCCAAGCGCCCATCTTCCTTTTCCACGAATTGCTTACCGTGCTATGCGTAGTCCGTACAATTGAAAATTTCCCGACTGGGTCCGGAGATGTTCCCACTTCCCCTATCGTTATATCTGCTTGCGGCGTTCTCTCACCGGATGACCCCTCCCTCGTGACTTCCGAGACGACTGTTGGTGACGGCTACGAGGATTACCCTGAAGACGACGATTCCGATGTGCAGAACCCCGAAGTTGCGCTTGATATTGCGCGTAAAATCCGTGAGCTCGGTAACAAGCTCTTCAAGGATGGGCAAATAGAACTCGCACTCAAAGCGTACCTCAGTGAGCAATCCCGCCAACATCTCTCGCCTGCATTGTTAACAAGATGTTAGAATCGATAAGATACCTAGACGTCCATCCCGAATTGCCGGAAAACTCTTCGCCGGAGCTTAAGGACTCTTATGAATCGCTTCTTGCACCCCTCTTATTAAACTCGGCACTCGCTGCGCTACGCACACAACCAGCAGCGACCGAAACTGCGGTGAAGAATACCACGCGAGCTTTGGATCGTCTGCAGCTGAGTAACCCAGATAAAGCCAAGGCCCTTTATCGTAGGGCGTCAGCGCATGTAATTCTGAAGCAGGAAGACGAAGCTGAAGCAGATCTTGTTGCTGCTAGTCAGCTTGCACCCGAAGACCCGGCGATCCTGGGAGAACTCGCGAAAGTGAGGCAGAAGAAGAAGGAAAAAAGGGAGAGGGAGAAGAAGTCATACAAGAAACTGTTCTCGTAGACTGAGTAATATGGATACTAGAAGAATACTAGTTGACCATATGCTCCTTATTCTTGTTCCAGCCTAGTCAAGTACTCGAAAACGTATATATACCGCTCATGTACACTCGTACCTATAGCGAATTCTATCCTTAGATCCCCGCTCCAAGCACTTCAGAAAGCCTTCTAGAACATGTCCGTCTCAAGCGTCTCATCTCTCGTTTCTGTCGTCTCATTTCTACCCCATTTCGTTTAATTCCCTGTCGAACTCACACTCAGCCTTACAGTGGTCTATGGGGTGTTGGGGGACGGGGGGGAGGTGAGGCGTTGGGGGGTGAGGCGCTGGGGGACCGGAGGTGGGGGGGAGTGAGGCGTCGGGGGGTGGGGCGTTGGGGGACTGGGGGGGGGGAGTGAGGCGTCGGGGGGTCGGGCGTTGGGAGACTGGGGGGGCAGTGGCAGTGAGGGATTGGGGGACACTCAGACCAGCAGGGCCTCGAGGGCCAGGGCGACCTCGGGGGCCAGGAGGGCCTCGGGGGCCGGTGTCACCAGTGGGGCCAGTACGACCGGTGGAGCCTGGCGAGCCTGGGAAGCCTGGAGGACCGTTGAGGTCTTCAATGAAAAGGCTGTTCGTTAGCCGATGAACATAGCACTGAGCCTGCACGACATCAGTGATTGTCGGAGCAGCTTCAGTGAAAGTCAGTCACTAGTACTAAGTGTTGCAAAATAGGGTGCAACATACGTGAAGAAGCGTCAGCATAGCGTCGGAGCTCCAGGAGTCGATAAAGAAGATTCACAGCTCGGAAGATGTCTTCCTCTGTTGCAGGACTTGATGGCAGGACACGTATTTCTCGATGTCTTTGTGACGGTGACAGTTGTGGTAATGGGATGATCCAACTCATGACGAGAAATGGCTGAGGTGTTAGTGATCCCCATCCCCTTATAAAGTTTCCTGCGGCTGACGATATCCTCAGTCCACTTCCAAATCTATGCTTCGTTTGAGTTTGGACCAGTCCTTGGTCAAGGTGAGCCTGAGACGACATCCGCGCTCCATCGCTGAATGTCATCAATTAACGGTATGTTGCTTTGAGTCGGATACGCACTGATCACGGGATCTCTTTGACTGGTGCGTGGAGGCGAAGAACTTCGTTTACCACAGCGTCCAGATAGGGAAGCTTATTCATAAGGTCGTCATATGAGGGGGTTGGCCCAACCTCTAAGCACTCGTCGCGAAGCTTCTTTTGTATGTCTGAATTCTGCGCAAGTTCTACTAAAGCCCACTGTGGAGTTAAGAAACACGGTTGGAGTTGTGAACGGTTTGAAATTTACTGTCATGCTTACTGATCGTATGCGAATAATGGTGAATGTATAATTCTCTTGCTAGATGAATGCACATTACCCGAAGTGGTCTCAAAACAGGCGAGAAGAAGGACCCTTGCCTGGCGGAGACGGAGATCAACATCCCATCATTCAGATGAGTTCTATTATTCGTGTACCTCGTCCAGTACTTCTTGTGGAGTCACTCCCGCGCTCTCACCAGATCCCTCCGCTTTCACTACACATAAATTTTAAGATTTACAATTTTGCAAATGAACGACAAGACTCACAGAGCAAACCCAAACACGATTTGTCCCCCTGCTCAGCGCCGCCAGTATCCTTTTCCTTGCGTGTCCGTGACAGTATCTCCTGGCATATTTTGCCAACTATCGAGTGAAGTTTTGAGGTGAACTGTGTGCGAGGCAATGGCAGCTTCAGGATAGAAGAATAATACCTTAGTCCTTGAATACGATCAGACTTCAAGGATGTACTCACAGCGCTGACCAATTCGAGTGAGAACACCCTGTCGTCCGCGTAGGCACCCATCATCCTATTCGACCTGTCCCTCAATTAGAAAAAACATATACATTGCAACAAAAATAGGACATATAATCTTGGCTTTTAAATGCTTGTTCAGCACGGTACGCATGCGCGCAGTGTCATACTGGACGTTTATCAAGATCTGGCGCGCGCGATCACTTGCCTCGTTCTTCCGGAAAATGGTATTTGAGTCGAGGACACGCTTCTTGATCGTGTCTCCGCGCACGATGTCATAGGTGCTATGGGGTGTATGAAGAAATTACATTAGATGTTGTACAAGATGATCAGCGAGGCGACACCCACGCCAAATATGTGTCAGACGCTGTTGGTTCTGCGATGTTTTTTGCAAACTTGTGAAGGCCGAGAACTTCTTTGGTAATCGGCCGAGCACATTCACATTCGATGCGAAGGTCGTTCTGGGTCCCGTTAGGCTGCAAAAACGCTACGGCTCACTGTTTGAATGAATTCCCATGAGGCACAAAGGACATATGCGAAAGGATAGTCTGGTAACAGTAAGGGCACTTGATAGATTTGTGTGTGAGAACCGCAGCGGATGCGAATGGATCATACGGCAATTTGGTACTGCGCTCCCAAGCAGAAACATGTTCATGTTGTGGTGCGTCGGTGGTTAACAGATCAGGGTTAGACTGGCACAACATCCAGCGAGCTCAGGACTTGCTCAGGACAATATTTAAAGCGATGTGGCGCACGAGCACCTGAGTGACACCATCTAAGTAACGTGAGAACGTACGATCTCGCGTTACTATTTAGAGGGAATAGCTACTTACAGTACCGCACCACTTATTACTTCAGTAATAGATCATGCATACGCTCCCGAAATTACCAGCAGCTTTTAGGGTTCTTTGGGCAACACGTAAGCAGGACCATTTGCTCCTAGTATACGATAGGAGGCCCATATATGCAGTGTATATAACCTCCTAACCTTCAAGTTGAATCTTCTCTTAGTGACAATGTCGATCCAAGTACCACTCTTCTCAAAGTCGTTATCCCAAATCCAGCGACCATTGCCTCCTTCAGATCCACCAACCAGTCAAGACATTGTACATGCAATTGTCCTCCTTGAGAAGGCGAAGGAGTTTTTAGCCCCCCCTGTAAGTTGTGTTCCGCAGTGGTGGCCTGAGCTGCTAAATACATAAAACGCCCATAGCATTCAAGAGAAAACTGTGCAGGGACTACTGTGTGGCCACTGTTGACGACCTTGCGAAAGCGCAGCTGTATCTACACAAGGTGTGCAGCGCAGCCACGGTTGGGACAGGTGGAAATCATGTCATCTCGGATCCCGTTGAATCTATCCATAGAAAGCTGGACCAGATGAATGAAACACTGGTTCGGGTGATGGATAATTCCAGGATTCACCCTCTGGAGCAACGACTTGACTCTGATTCCCAAGTAAGTGAGCGTCGACAGAGGTCCAGCTACCCCGAGCGGTCATCGGTTGAAAGCACGCACTGGGTATGATAATTTCGATACTTTGATAACCACTGCTCATGTTAACAATATGACAAGAAACATCCTTTTAACGACTTACAGTTGTACCACCAGATTCCGATCTCGTGGGACTTTGGAGCTCAAGACCCGGAGCACGTTAGTATGTTTATCGTCTCTTGTTCACATTAATGACGCGTTCCGATAGTTTGAATTGCCGCCTTTACGCACGAACAACGACTTCACGAACCTTACCGATTATCAATTGGACGATTATTACTACAGAATTGACATCGATGACCAAAGTACTAGGGAGACGAAAATCCATTGCCTCCGATACTACATTATTTTTCGGTGAGTGTTTTGAATGTCTATCTTTTGTCACACTGCGTTGACAATATTGCCGTTAGAAGTCTTGTCTTGCCGCGTCTGACCCAGCACTTGTTTCATGAAAAAAGTTTTACCATTCAATATACACCCATGTAGCCGGTAGACTAGTAGTACAGCGTCTCCGACTACATGACCTCAAGATTGACATCGAACCGAACAAATTTTACTCGAGTGTTGAACATTTCAACTTGCTTAGTACTCACTTCTATGGACGGCAACGAAACAGGACTATTTGGTATGCCGTGGCTGATGACTCCAGGCAGCACTGCAGCAGGATCTTCAATCGGTGACTCGGAAGAGACAGTTAAACTACCTTTGGATGCGATCCGACGCGCTGCGTACACCTCTGCATAGAGATCAACTTTGCTCTGCACGCCGAAATTGTGTTATCCTTCGACTTTGAAAAGGAATGTGCGTGGCTTATAAAAGTTCACGTAGACTGACACCTTGAGATATAATCGATTTGCGTTGGCAGGCTTTCGATCCTTGTCGTCTTTGACGAAGCACGCCGCCTCGCCGTCGACGGTCGCTATGGAAGGAGTGAACGAGGAAAATGTCGGGGTCGTATTCTGGGGGACACGAGTCAGTGACGAGAAGAAGCTGGTAAGTATGTACATGTCTTGCTGTTTCGTATCCTTCAATCTTTTGGAATTAGGAAGTCGCATATGTGGAATGAGCCTTTTGCGAGCTAATGCAGGGTACATGTTTGTGAAAGCACAGGAAGTTATTGCATTTCACGTCCGCTCCTTGGATCAGGCTACATGTCAATACAGGGCGTATACTACATGTGTCCCTTTTGCCACTTCCTGGTGTGTTGCTTGTGTTCCCTAACTTTCTCCTTGTCATTCATCTTCCCGTG